ACGTATTTATTTTCCAAATACAGGTATTGTACAATTACAATTTGAATATGATTCTCTATTAAACTCTAACGGAACAAAAAATACTAGTGTCTATAGCATTTATAATTAATATATTTCATGATATCAATAATTTACAATCAATAATTAAAACATTTTTATATATCTAGAATAAAAGATAATTTGGTGTACATACTCTTAAGCAATACCTCTGTTAAGTTAGTGTCCCAGTTATGTTTAATTTTCAAGTTGACAAAGCCTAGAAGGCTATTCGAAGAAAGCTTTTTATTACATTCATCTAGATCTGGTTATCTGTGTGCCTATCAGTGACTATTATTAATTGATTAATAATTGACTGTTATTAACTGGTTATTAATTGATTAATGATCCCAACTCAGCAGGGGGACAACAGCCCTAGACAGCTAGACAGATGGACATGGGCTGTATAAGAAAGCTAGCCAAGCATCAGCAAGAGAGGCAGCAGTCAGCATTCCTCCATGGTTTCTGCTTCACAATCCTGCTTGAATTTCTCCCTCACTTTCCTCACTGATGAAGTGGGAGAGGATGATACAGCAAATAAACCCTTTTTTCTCCTTAAGATGATTTCATTCAGAATGCCTTATCACTGCAACAGAGAGGAAATTAAAAGAGAAATTGGCACAGGGTGTGGATTGTTCCTGGGACACACATAGCTATGTGGCTTTTCATGTCTTTGTGTCATTTTGTTGGTGGATTGCATAGGATTTTAGGACTTTTGGGCTGGAAATTCTGCTGAATGCTCAAACCTTAATAAGTTATTTTAGGAACTTGGAAGATGAACTATGGGGGTGTGTTTTATGCAGTTTCAGAAGGGGTTACTGACTGAATTAAGAATTGAGCCAGAGCAGGGCCGTAGTGGCCAACGCCTTTAATTCCAGCACTGGGGAGGCAGAGGCTCTCTGTGAGTTCGAGACCAGCCTGGTCTACACGAGCTATTTCCAGGAGAGCCTCCAAACCATAGACAAACACTGTCTTGAAAAACAAAAAACAAAACAAGAATTTAGACAGAGGCTATTTGTGTGAAATATTGTATGAAGATACTGTGGCTGTTGTCAGCTGGGATTTCAGAATCAGCTATACTTAAAAAAAGAGCTGCACATCAGGTGGTGGTGACACATACCTTTAATCTCAGAACTGGGGAGACAGAATTAGGCAGATCTCTGAGTTTACAGCCAGCCTGGTCTACAGAGCAAATTCCAGGAGAGGCAGTGCTTACACCGAGAAACCCTATCTCCCAAAACCAAAAGCAAAACCAAAATAATAAAAAAATCAGATCTGCATCATTGAGGTGAACCTGTTTTTCTCTTGGATGATGGGATTGTTGGTCACCTGGTGTTGAAGAATCGCCTGTGATTAACAAGAGCGCAGCAGCATCGAGATAATAGGAATGTATTGTCCTTAGGGTCAGCCCACAGAAGGTATACTCCAAGACAACTAAAGCTGTATTTTAATCAGGCAGCCAATATTGAGAATGATTAAGAGTCTCCCAGGTGATACTAGTTTTAAAGTTATGGAAGATGTATCGTTGAATTGGTCATGGACAGGAACTTGATCTTTGCAGCATATGATAGGTAGGCATCTCTTTGGAGTAGCCATTAGTAAAGGTGCATCATTAGTTGTGGTGAAGACCTAGGAAATAGATCCCAGGAATATGAGATGTTTGCTTAGGACAGTGGCAAATGTGGAGTGTAGCTAGCATGAGCCTAGGAGACAAGTCATGTGTTATCTATATGGCAGAGCTGCAGAAGGGGGACTGCTCAGGCCTTTCAGATATATTTTGTACAGTAAGAAATCCCCAGATAATAGATATTGAATGACAGGATTTGGATTTGTACTGTTGGATATTTGTGTTGTTTTTCTGCTGTTACAATGTTCTTTCATTTTGGAATAACAAGCGTTATTTGATTTCAGTTTAGAGGGCCTACAGCTAAAAGACACCTGTCTGTCTATCTATCTATCTATCTATCTGTCTGTCTGTCTATCTATCTATCTATTTATCTATCTATCTATCTATCAGGCATACAGTGTTCTTTCAGCATGTATGCCTGGATGTCAGAAGAGGGAACTAGATCTCATTATAGATGGTCTTAAGACACAGTGTAACTGGTGTGTATTGAACTCAGGAACTCTGGAAGGGCAACCAGTGATCTTAACCTCTGAGCCACCTCTTTAGCCTCAAGACTTTGGGGTTTTAAGGGGACTTTTAGTAATTTTAATGAGACTTTTAGTGTGTTTAAATTACTAGAGACTGTGTAACTCTTAAACCTGTTTCATGTGATGGCTTTAAAATATTATCTCAGGGACAAACGTTTGAAAGATTATAGCTTAAAGTAAAGTGTTTTTATGTAAAGTTGACAAGTGGTGAAATATTGTAGTTAGAAAACCACCATATTGTCACAGCATAGGATTTCTTGGGAACAGACGCCTCATTTGAATAAGTATTTTTATTCAATTTGTCTATGGGCATGTATGTGAGGTATTATAATATCTGTTAATTTATGCATACAAATTAGCCTTGCCATAGCTTGTGCAAGTGGCTTTGGGTTGTATAAGTGAGTGAGCAAGCAAATCAAGAACCAGTGTTCCTCAGCAGATTCTTTTTATGGATAGTCTTCCTGTCAGCCTGATCTCCCAGCCATCTTGGAGCCCCCAAATAAACACACAGATGCTATATTAATTATGAAATTATTGAGCAATGACTAGGGCTTCTTATTGACTAACTCTGTCTTAGTTACTGACCCATTTCTATTAACTAAGTATTCCCACACAGTCTTATCATCCCAGAGAAAGGTTCAGGGATCTGTTACTCCCCTGGTGTCCTACATGGTGACTGATATCTGCCTATACCACCCAGAATCCTCCTCATCTCCTAGATCCACCTATCTTGTTGCCCTATTGGCCACAGTGCTTTATTCATTAATCAATAAGAAAAACATATGTACAGAAGACATGCCCATCATCTCTTCTTTTCTGTCTAAATAAAAATAAAGTTTTTGACTTTAACATAGTCATATATATATAACAAAACAGTTATAAAGTAAGAAATATTGTCACAATATTTAGCTCATTAACATTTAGTAATATTTTAAAGAAAATATTTTATCATCTATCCTATCCTATCCTACCATGTAACTTATCTTTTATCATAACTAAGGAAAATCATAACCATAACTATCTGTCTTTAAATCAATCAAAGACCACAGAAGGATAATATATATATACTCTGGAACAGACAGAGACATCTCGCTGCCTGGTCAGTCACCCAAAGTTCCTCTGTAATATTGGAGCATCTTTGACCCATAGGCCACAGTGTGTCTGTCAGGCTTCTCAGCGAAGCAGGAAATTAGAAAATGTCCCACCTGTATTGGCAATTTGTCAGTAATTTATCTCTCTGCCCTGTAGAATGTCTTCCAGACTCTTTTATGAAACAGAAACCCTAAAGCACTGACCCATATTGTTTTAACAGTCACTTTTATGTGGGTCCTGTATGAACACTTCATACAGTATGCAGTCAAACAGTCGAGGCAGGAGCGGGTATTTGCCCAAATGTCTAGTCTTGCCATGTTAAAGGCAGACTCCATTATAAGTTTTTCGAAGTCCATCTTCCTCTCTGAAGCAATTGGTATTTCCAGGAGCAGTTATGTCTCACTGTCATGAAAAAAAACCCTAAATAATTTTAAATGCCATATTCTCTAGATCTTTGAAAGGTTTGAAGAATGCCTATCAATTTGAAATATATTTATATATATACATCTAGAAAACCTAATTAACCAAACTATAAGTTTTGACTATTATAGGTAACTATCTACAATCTGTACTTAATTATATATTACATCTTAAGATATGCTATATAAGCACAATACCTAAACAAGAGGTGAAATATACATATCACAAAATTGACCTTAAATTTATGTCAATAAATGAAAATCCATTCCAATAAAATGTAGTCATTTCTATATCATAACCCCTCATTTTTCCCTTATAAAGATTGGTAGTTTTCATTAACCATTTATAAACAATGCCACTTAAATGAGAACATTTGGGGGCGCTGTTAGAACTATGGGGATCATGAGAAAAGAGAAATCTGGCCAAATTCTGCAATCTAATACCTGCCCTCATTTCATTTAGGATGAACCCAGAACTGGAAGAATATGCCATATATTTCTTTCATCCTCTAATTTTTTGTCAGAGTATTGTATCACTCTGGTGTCAGAACTTGGCCTTGGGTCTACATAGTACTCATTTGGATTGAATATTTGTCATGAAATGTGGTTCTTGGTGAGGGATGGTCAAAATGAATACCCACAGAGAAATGGGAGACATGCGCTTGGAGTGCTAAGCAAGGCAGAGTGAGAGGGAACCACAGGAGGGTGCTCTGCATTAACATTCAAGCAAGCATTGGTATTTTGTCTCTGGTTACAAAACCTGATCTCCCTCTTCCAGTGCCCTAAATGGTATAAACAATCAGCTTGAAGGTGATGATTACAGTCTGGTGAATTGAAATTTAATAAAGCTGTCTTAAGATTGCACATTTGTTTACTAAGAAATTTGTATAAGAGATTTATGAGGTTATAAACCTCTTCTAAACCTTCAGAAATTAAGGAGACTAAGATTGTGGGGAAATTTTATGCAATTATTTTAACATTGAGACAAAAGTTCTTTTAAAAATAAATAGAACATTTGGGCAAAATATAACCATCATTTAATCATTGTCAAGTTCAATGACCAAAGAAGTCCTGAGCTTTCCAACAAGGCCTTAAGACTTCCTCTAAGGGAAGGATTTCTCTACAGTGGGAACTTTTCTGTCCCTGAGTGGCAGGTTGAAGGATGCTGCAAGCAGTACCTGATTGACAAGCCTTGTCTCACTCAGCTTTCACAAGAATAATTATTTTTCAACATATTTAAGGTCAGATGTCCAAATGAAAATGTTATTAAAATTGCCTACATGGACCAGGACAAAGTTGTCAGCTGCTGCACAAGACTGTTTCCTGTCCGGAAGAACTCCTCTCTCCACCTTCTTTCTCAGGAGTGTCTTGCATGGCTCTCTGCAGTAGCACCTTCAGAGTCTGTCTCTGGAATCGATGATGCCTAATGGAGCCAACAAGGAAGTAAATGATGGGGTTGGCACAGCTGTTAACACAGGATAATAATGCTGAGATTTCAAAAGCACTACAAGGGAAACCACTATGAATCTCATCAATCCAACCTAAGTGGAACCAGTAGATCCCATAGGACAAACCAAAGAGCAGGAAGGCCAGCACTGTGAGGGCAATGGTCACATAGAGCCTGGTCACAGGAATCCTGTGTGAGCCACAGAAAACCCTGATTATCAGGGCCAGGCTGGACCCTGAGAGGACCACAAATAAAACAATTAACCAAGCAAAAGTGATGAAATCTAATTTCCTACACCAAGCCAAAACTAAGTCATTAAAGAAGGCACTACATGATTTCCCTTCCAGGAGGCCCAATGTCAGGGACAAGGCCCAGAGCAGGGCACACATGACAGCTGATGTGTGTCTTGGCCTTTGACAGCGGTACCATATGGGCCATAGGGCAGACAAGCAGCGCTCAGTGCTAATGGCACTGAGCATGCTTAGACTTGCCAAATAAGCACAATTTAACACCATAATCAAATACATGGTCACACCAGTAATACTTATATGAAAATGATGAAGTATTTTGTCCAGGGAATACAGAGTCTGAAAGAAGAGGAAGAGGAAGTCGGCCCCAGCCAGGTTGAGGATGTAGACAGAGAAGGCATTCCTGCGCATGTGGAAGCCCAGGAGCCACAGAACTATGGCATTTCCTGCAACACCAACCAGGGCAATGATGACTATAAGAAGATTCAGTGTATAGGAAATTGTGGCACAGTATAAAGGCTGATTGTAATCACTTGTATTCATTGGTGTGTCCTTAGGTCTCGAGGCTGGGATGCTTAGTTGTACGATTTGCAATTCTTCACTAGTGTTCCTGAAATGAAAAAAAGAGTACATGAACACACACTGTATATGCTCTGACACCCTCCCTCCCCACCCAACACTATGGGAATAACCGACCCTGGCTCACAAAGAAGAGGAAACAGCTTACATAAATTAAGTCATTTGTCAACTTTTAAATTTTCTTGAAGATTTTACTGACTTGGCTATGTGGTGGTTTGAAACAAAATGGCTCCCATAGGGGGTGGCACTATTATGGTGTGTGGCTTTGTTGGAGTAGGTGTGGCCTTGTTGGAGAAAATATGTTCCTCTGGGGATGGGCTTTGAGGTCTCCCATGGTTAATCTATGTTCAATGTGGGACATTGTTCACTTCCTATTGCCTGTGGATCAAGAAATTTCAGCTTTTCTCCAGTAACATGTCTGTCTGAACGCTACCATGTCCCACCATGATTATGATGTAGTAAACCTCTGACACTCTAAGCCAGTCACAACTAAATGCTTTATAAGAGTAGCATGATCTCTTTATAGCTATAGAAATTTAGACTAAGACACAAATCAGTACCACACACTGGGGTATTGCTTTAATAGGCCTTACCCTAATTTCATTTGGAGGCATTAGGACTTCTGGATTTTGTAATGCTTCAAGCATTGCTCAATAGACCATACTAGTAAGAGGATGGGGACAGTGGTGCTGAGGGTGATTTGAACTCTAGGGGCCCAACTCAAGAAGTTTCAGGAGATAAGAATTTTATTATGTTGACTAGAGATCATCCTTGTGATATTTTGATGAAGAATGTAGCTGCTTTTTTATCCTTGTCCATAGAGTCTTTCTGAGGCTAACATAAAGAGCTTTTGATTAATTCTATTGGCAGAAAAATATCTTAAAACAACCTAGTACAAATTCTGTCATGTGGTTATTAGCGTTCACTCTAATGAAGATTTATAACAAAAGGGAAAAACCAAACAAGGAAAAATACAAAGTTTTCTTTTTGAGTAGAAAAGGATCACCAGGAAGTGGAATGGAGCTAAGTTGTGTGCTCAGGGAGATAAACAGATTAATAAATGAGCAAAGGGGTCAAAACCATGCTGGTGAAACCCACAGAAACAGCTGACTTGAACCAAGGTGAGCTCATGGAGCCCAGACTGATGACTGAGAGGCCAGCATGGAACTGATCCAGACCCCTTAAATTTTGGTGTCAGCGAGGAGGCCTTGGCAATCTATGGAGCCTTCGGTAGTAGATCAGTAGTTATCCCTGGCATACAAATAGACTTGGGAGCACATCCTACATTGATGTGTCTCTCAGCCTAGACACATGGGGGAGGGCCTAATCCCTGTCCCAGATGAAATGACAGATTCTGGAGATCCCCCATAGAGAGCCTCACCCTCCCTGGAGAGCAGAGTGGGGACTGGGTGGGAGGTTGGGGGAGGTGAGGGAGAGAGAGCTGGGATTGACATGTGCAGCAAGCTTGTTTCTAATTTAAATAAAAAGTAATGAAATAAAGATAATGGTGAATTCAGGGCAAGATCCCACCTAGCTAAGATTTATACTTGTGGAAAGGGATTAAAAAAGAATCTCAGAGAGACAGGTGTGGTGGTGCACACCTTTAATCCAAACACTCCAGAGAAGAGGCAGAGGAAGGCAGATTTTGGAGTCTCAGGCCAGTCTGGTCTACAGTGAAAGTTCCAGGACAGCTAAAAACAGCCAATAAACGAAACCGTGGAAAAGATTAAAGCTAGTGAAGAGGTAATTGAATAAGTTGACAATGTTCCAGTCCCAAAACACAGTTGGTCCTGGCAGGTTTGGCCACATGGTTCTGTCTTTCATGTCAAAGATATAAGAAAGGGATTATGGAATCTTCTTCTGTTACTAAGAAAATCTACTGAGTGCAGGAACAAGTCAGGTTAGTTCCTGAATGGAGGTCTAGAAAGACCATTGCATGAAGCTCTGAAGTTGAAGCCTGGATTGCCTTGGAGAGCTCAATGCCATTGGAGATGCCAGAGCTGTGGGATACCTACAAAATGCTACTAACAGGGAGTGAAACAAGCCCAGAAGAGAGATGTGTGTTGTAGTCAAAACTCTTCAGGAAGCTGGAGATCTGAAGACCCCTTTGACGTCAGACATGGAGAGACAGCATTTGGAGTTTGCCCAGATGGTTTTTGATCTTGCCTTGGTCCTGTATTTTCTCTTTACTCATTTTGCAATGGCAATGTTTATCATCTGTGCTATTATATTTTGGGATTATGTGATTTGCTTATTGATTTTTATTTTTACAGGGGATTGTAGTTAAGAGATTTCATTAATCTCAGAAAAGACATTGAGCTTTAGACTTATAAGTAAGTTTGAGACTCTGATAGACAATAGGCACTTTCTTTTTCTTTTTTTGGTTTTTATGAGACAGGGTTTCTCTGTATTGTTTTCGAGGCTGTCGGTCCAGCCCAGCCTCGAACTCACAGAGATCTGCCTGCCTCTGCCTCCCCAGTGCTGGGATTAAAGGCGTGTGCCACCACCGCCTGACTTATAGGCACTTTCTCAGTTGGACTGAGTGCAGTTTTACATTATACTATTGCTACAAGCCTATGAGGGCCAAAGAGTGTAATGTGGTGGATTGTAGGGAAATGATACCCATAGGGAATGGCACTATTAGGATGTGTGGCTTTGTTGGAGTAGGTGCTGCATTGTTGTAGTATATATGTCATGGTGAGGGTAGGCTCTGTGCTATCCTATGCTCAAGAGATGTGCAATTGGAACACAGTTAACTTCCTGTTGCCTGTGGATTAAGATGTAGAACACTCAGCTCCTTCTCTATCACCATGTCTACCTGCATGCCACCATATCCAACCGTGATGATAAGGGCCTAAACCTCCAAACTCTAAGCCACCCTAATGAAATGCTTTCCTTTATAAGAGTTTCCATGGTCATGGTGTCTCTTCACAGCAATAGTAACCCAAATTAAGAGAGGTTATCTGCAAGCCAATTCATCAACCCTCACTGGGGTAGCTGATTGTTCTAGTAGACATGCTTATGAGCAAATGCATTCAGGAAAAGACAGAATTCTTAATGCAACTATTTCTGTCCTAAAGCTGAAGCTTCTTCTTAGGTGCAGGAGTATTGGCACCTCATCATGAACAATGCCTGCCTTTAGTCACTGGGAGGGAGGCCTTCCAATGGGAAAAATTGAATAAAAAGTGAGAGTGAAGACCTCTGTGAGCACAGTCAGAGTTATTAGGCTAGAGAAACTGGATCTTCATTTCAAAATTTGGAAATTATAAAGAATAACAAGGGTTTTTTTTTGATAAATGTCTTTATGGAAAAAGTGTCTGGCACTCTACTATGTTATTTTGTTAAGAAATGTAACAAAGCCAGGCAGTGGTGGCACAAACCTTTAATCCTAGCACTTGGTAGGCAGAGGCAGGTTGATGTCTGTGAGTCTGAGACCAGCGTGGTCTATAAGAGCTAGTTACAGATCAGTCTTCAAAGCTAGACAGAGAAACACTGTCTCAAAAAAAACAAAAAAAGAGAGAAATGCAATAAATGAATAAATAAATTAGTCATGATATCAGAGTTAGTTGAAAATATAAAGTAAAGATTGTACAAATGTTTTAAAAATAAGATGAGTTCCAGAAAACATGCAGAATGAAGAACATGTCATTGCTAATAATTTCTTCACTGGAAAACTCTTGTGGTTGTGAATAATCACTTATGCTACAGAGCTGGACAATGATGGCCAATGCAATTTTGCAACATATGAATGTCCAATATATATCTGTAAATATTGCTAAGAAAAATTTTAGACCCAAGGTGAGATATTTGATTCTGGATTCACTGTGGGTCCTAAAAAGCTAGATAAAGTAGATAAAAAGGCACTGTTGTATATGGAAGTATTTGAGGTCTGAGATGAAAAAGGAAATATAAATGACTTTGCTTTGGAAACACAGTCCCATCATCTAGGAAGACCAGGAGTAGATGTAAGTGAACAAAAGTAGTTCCTGGGACATATGCCAGCATGGCTTGGAAAAGCAGGGTCACTTACGTCTTTGTTCCACTCCCATTTGTATTGGAAAGCTTCCTATTTCCTCCATGATCCACAGAGACATTAGGAGAAAGCACATCTAGCCTGGTATTTCTCTTCTTATCACTTTAAGTGCCAATTGGAGTGGAATGATGGATGTCCCTGTACTTGCTGCTTTGTGGCATGACCATCTCCCAGTAGAGTTCCCTGTATTAGCCCTCCGCACCATCCCCTGTGGTAGGGAATATCAGGTAAGCTTCAGTCCCCATACAGTTGATTCTGGCTTGGAATGTGTAGAATTGGGAATTAAAAAGGATCAGAATCCAAGTGTTTTCACCTAGTGAGCTTCAGAAGCCTGTGACTAGCATCTAAGCATCCAGTCTTCAGCTAATCAACAATGATTGGTTATTGTCACTATTTATTGTTGTGCTGGTATGTACCTGTGTTGTACTCTTTACCCTCACTGTTAGATTTTGTAATGTCATACACTTCTCTCCTTCCAATCTTGTTGTTTCTCTCTTTACCACTAGGTACACAAAGGTTTGCAGTGTTTTCTTAATTAATTTGAACTTCTCAGTTATTCTATATTACCATACCCCCATCAGCATTAGAAGTGCAGCTGTTCTTTTCAATTGCTCTTATTTGTTTTCTAATGTAAACATGTGGTTGACTTTTGTGTTGAGTGTGTCTTCTTTCTCCCTTTGGGTGTTGCTTGAGATTGATATTTTGAGCTAAGTATGCTTAATAGGCAGGCACTTGTAAAACTGTTATCTAACACAAAAGGCTAAAATTATGATCCAGAAACAAAAGTTGTCAATGAATAAGTAATGTTGCTCTGCCAAAGGTTAATATCACTTTAACAATGAATCCAAAGGTATAAGACTCATGTAAAACCAGACAATGAACTCAGAAGTCTTAATTTTGAAATGTTGAAAGATTTCAATGATGTAAGCAGGGTTAGGGACAAATTTATACAAGTTTTAATTTATAAAATTACCTCTGAGATAGAGATTGGGGAGCAA